CTACAAAACTGCTACTGTTACTTTTACCACCATTAGCGTTACTTCTATATTACTTTGCTACTAAATACTTTGCTGCATATAGTAAGTCTTTCAGGTGTGGTTGAATTGACAACTCAGCTGCTAATACTTGAGAATATTCTTTGGCTCCCCTTGTGTCGAATCAATAAATTTGGATTGAATACTCTACCCTCGAAAACTGTTGTGATCCCCTATACTTGTGGGTTATCAGTGACTTCGTCAACGGGATGCCGGAACACGTCAACAAGAAAGAAGAACAAAATCGGTAACGGGAGCGACGGTATAGTGAGCATAGTGATGACTCAGGAGGATACTGATGCACACCGGGTTTTGTAAAGTATCGTGAAGCAAAGGGAACGTCACATGATAACCAAAGGTTCACTCGAATATCATTCGTGTAATCATAGGGACCAATATGGATGTCCACGGTTCCGCTATCAGTCATTGAACAAAGGGGGTTTCATTCATGTCTATGATTTACCGAACCTACGAGGTCACAAGCTTAAGGTAATCATGATCTTCTGAGTGTTAGTGGAATAAGATTGATGAGAATATACTCGTGAAATAGTTTCATTAATATCCGGAATAGTTCCGAGAGGTTCCGGAAGCATTTCAGGGTCACCGGAAGGGTTTCGGTGGATATCGGGTAATATCGGGTCTTATCGATTATATATATATATATATATATATAATACTCTGAAAATGTTTAAAGTATTTTTTATATAATTTAAATATCAACGGGCCTTAAAAGGCCAAGAGGTGGAAGGCAACTTGGGCCAAAAAGGCCCAAGTGGGAAAGTGCCAACCTTCCCTAAGGAAGGGGGCCGAATTGGACTAGGGGTGGGAGTCGACTCCACCCCCTTGGCCGGCGCAGCAAGGGAGGCTTTCCTCCCTTGGTGGCTGCCCTCTCCTCCCCTCCGAACCTATATATACTAGAGGTTTTCCACCCTATTGATACACAAGTTTTGGGAGCCTCCTCTAGTTGATCTAGTTCTAGTTCTAGTTGGTCCTAGACTAATTAGAGCTAGCCCTAGCCACCTCTAACACTCATAATTAGAATCCTGTGTGGTTCTAATCTCCTCCCTCTAATTCTCCGGCGATGATTATCTCTGGATGGCGAAGCGCTGCCGGATCGTGAAGACCGTACGCTTGCAACCAAGTAGAGAGGTTGTGCTTTTGGTCTTCAATTCGAGGGATCGTTCGAGGGTGGTTCACGGGATCGTCATCGATGTTCGAGGGACTTCAAGTACGATCTACACTGACTCGTCTACTTCTGCTGCACTCTGGAGTCGGTAATGTTCGTTGATCACAAACCGTTGTGCATCTTCGTATTGTTCTTGGGTGATCGTAGGTGCGATTTTTTTTTGTTTTCTACTACGTTCCCAACACATTCTATTCCACTATGTCTATCCCCATTAAAAGAACTATGTCCACTATTATTATATGAACATCCACATTGTCAATCATGTTTGCATCATAAGCAAAATTCAGGGTCACTTAAGCCACACCAACTGACATTGTTTGCTCCATCTGATCTTTCTTTAGCAATTTTTGGCATAGCTTCTCCTCCATTAGCTTAGTAGTTTCATGTTGACTAGACATAACCATGTTTACATCTTCTCCACCAGCTTAATTGTTACAGCTAGGACCATCTTCCTGCCAATAAACTTGTTGTTGTAGTACTGGCCTTGTTAAGATTTTGATTCTTTGTTACTTTGCATTATTGTCCTTAGATCTAGAATAGTCACTTATTTGTTCATTTACAATGCTTTTCTTTAGAAGCACGCCATCTACCAGTTTTCCACCTTCCTCTACTATTCCTTCCACATAGAAAATACATAAAGATATATGAACATATCCGCTATAAATGCATCGACACCAGGTATGGCACCAGGTTCAGCGACTTCCTCTTTAACCTTGATAATTTCATCCCCCTATACCCGACCATGTCGACCCCCTCCATGGCTCCCAATGTGGATGTAATTTCAACAAACTCATAATATGTGTAACATGGTCTGCAACACAACAAAGATCCAGACCAACGCAGAGTAGAGCTTAAACTTGGCCACATATGTCAACTCCCATTTAGAAACCCTAAAAATCACTCTTCTTCATATGAGGCCAAACATGGGATATTAAACATTTCTTTGAGTTTGCAGAAACGAGGGAACTTTACCAAAAATGATCCATCACCGTACTCTTAGACTTTCAAGGGATTAACCCAAAGGAATTGGACTTCCAGAGCATCTGCTAAACCTTCAAATAGACATTGCCCTTAATCACTTGAACTAGACTTATAGCTTCAACCAACTTATCACACTTAGGTTTTCTCCAATTTGAGCAAGTAACATATGTAGACCTTTTGCGCAACCTACCAATTTCATCACATGAGTAGGATTGTTAATCACACCACATCGCTCAGAGATGTGGCAGTCCTCTGCTACAGTGAATGCAAAGCAACATTGTTTTGTAGTCTTTCACTACGTGACCAAGAAAAGTACATCTAGCATTTCTCGTCATGCACCTTACAACTTGTTATCTATACTCATGTCCTCACCCTAAGATGAATTTCGTTGTGCATGCACACTACCAAAGAATGAAAGTTGATTGCCATCCACCGTCCTCCAGAAGTCATCGCACTTCTTTGAGCAGTACCTCCATTTCCCTGCGTTTGGAATTGATATCTTGGCTCAAATCACCGAACATCCCTGAGGGGATGATCCACCCTCCTTACTGGTTTGTTGGCTGGAGTTGCTCCGCACAACATCGGATCGAGTGAGCCAAACATACCGGGAGAACTCTAGAACTCGAATTGACCCTTGTTCTGGAATTGATGTTCACTTTGGAATTGTGGCACAGGCACACCCTAGAACTGCATATGATTCTGGTATTGGCTGAAGCCACAAACGTCCAACGTGCCACCACTACCATCTATATTCTTCAGATCTTGCTGCTCCATCCGCAACAAAGTCACCACACACCCATATCTCAGCTTGCCAGTAACCATGACCACCCTACATAGTAAGAACTCTCATTCACATCATCTGCTGCCGCCACACCACCCCTCACCACATCCTTGCCTTAGGCCCTGAATCCAGATGTGGCGCAAGAGTTTGTGTATTGTCGGCAAGGTCCATGGTTTGCCTTGTGGAACAGGTCAAGTCAAAGTAGTTGCCTCACACGACCTAGGCTACCCAAACCGAGCCCATTCAAAATTTCTTCTAAACCTCCATTCCACTCTCCTTGAGCTCATATGCATCTGGCATGGTGACCACCCGCCATTCGAGTGCCTGAGCAAAAGTTGCATCAAAAGTAAGGCATGAGGGAGTGGGAGAAGTACATCCAAAATTACCCCTAACAGTGATCAAACTGAAAGGCACAACCCGCTTCATGGAGATGACACCACCACACCGCCCCTACGACGCAACAAGTGACTCCGCGACGGCGAGCTTGAGCAGTGTGACCAGTCTCGCGCCCCCATGTTTTGAATCGGCACGCGGTGAGGCGGGTTGGGAGCGTTGGTCGTGGACTGCCTCTCCCTCAAGTACGGGAGCCTCGCGAGACCCAACATCTACCTCATCAGATATCTAGCCCCCCTTGAGATCCCACCAGAAGTGCCCAACACCTACTAGTAGTGACATCAGTAACGACCGATAAGGCAAGCCCTTGTGGCCTAAGCCTACAGTACTCATCTTCTCTACACGTCTCTCACATTTTTACTTGCACCCTCGGCAAACGGTTTTGGTTGATCCCATTGATCTTGGATCTATTGTGGCACTATTCTCGCGTACCTGCACTAGCGTTATCGAACATGAAACAATTGATCATGAACACCGACCTCCAATTCTTGAATCAGAGATGCATATCCCTAGCGCCCGATTCATAGGAGGTAGCGAACCGCGGACCAAATGAATTGTTAATCTGGTAAGTACAGTTCCCCAGTTCTCCCAAATAGATGCCTCACTTAAACTATAATTGCGGAACAAATAAATCGCGAATCTTATAACTATTCCACGTAACGTAATAAATATGTAGCCCATGCTGATTCCTAAAATAAATTGTAACCCAATCCAACCAAGGACATTCCCCTCCAGCATACAAATAAACTAAGGAGCAAATCAAGTATGGCCGTCTGATTCTACGATTGGGTTCTGTTAAACACATCACTGTTCTTTGACCTTGACAAGTTCTAGTTTGCGTAAACGGCGATAACAGGCAGGTGGAGTAGCTTACCACGAAGAAGCGTATGCCTGCACAGCCTGTCATCCGCCCGTGCTACACGCCAACTACCCTGGTCAGCACGGCCACCAGAGACCAGTTAAAATGTAGGCGCCTGGATATTTGTTTGTTCATTTGGTCAGCTCATTTTCCATTAGATGCTCGCATGCCTCTACAAATGCATCGATCGGTTCGCCAATCTTGCCTTCATATATTCACTGCCATGTTCAACTGTTCATGGATGTGCAGAAAAGCTATATCGTAGTCGGCCGAGGCGTGTGAACAGCGTGCGTTGACAAGTGCAAAAGCCCGCATCCACGACCGCCGTCCAGACGCGGAACCAATCTGCTCGGCGCACTCGCGCCCCCTGGTCCAGTCCAGTCTCATGTGCCGCGTGAAATGGGGGGAGGTTTTGTTCCCTTCTGCTCGCCTTTGCGCGTAGCCTCCACCACCCCATTCCCATTCCCGTTCCCAGCTAGCTAGCCAGCCATTGTCCGCCTCAGTTTTTAACTAACTTGCGAATTCCGAGCTTCTCGACAGCGATCGGCAACCCACCCGTGCCTCTCCAACTCTTTCTTTATTCTCGCCATTCCGGGGTTTTCATGCGCGGGCGGTCGACGCCGGCCAGCAAATTTAATCTTCTTCCCCTTCCCCTTACGTGAGTTCCCGGCTGACCCGAGATTGTTTCAACGCTTCCTGAGAGCTGCCTCCCCTCGTCACGACCAAGCAACCTACTTGCGGCTCTTCTCCTCCCGTCCGGCCGGATGGCATTGGACGTGCTCGTCAGGCTGCTGATCCTCGCGGCCGTCGCGAGCGCCATGCCGGTGCCGGGCGCCGCGGATCCCGCCGGCGCCGGGCTCGCCATCGGGTTCTACGACAAGAGGTGCCCGAAAGCGGAGGAGCTGGTGCTCGAGGAGATGCGGGACATCGTCCACGAGGACAGGACCCTCGGCCCGGCGCTGCTGCGGCTTCTCTTCCACGACTGCTTCGTCAGGGTGCGCATTGCGCTGCTTTCTTTGCCGTGCCGCGTCGCGTGCACGGGCCGTCTGAATGTGTTTTGCTTAACCTGAACTGGATGCGTGATCTGCAGGGGTGTGACGGGTCGATCATGCTGAAATCGAGGAGCAAGAAGGGGGAGAGGGACGCCAAGCCCATGAGCTACAGCCTCCGCGGCTTCGACGAGGTCGAGAGGATCAAGGCCAAGCTGGAGGACGAGTGCCCGCTGACCGTGTCGTGCGCAGACATCATCATCATGGCCGCGCGGGACGCCGTGTACCTGGTAATTTAAGCAGATCGATAATCCCCCCTTTCATGGCAACCATGGATTTTCTCAAGCTTTCTTTTTAGCTGACCAAACTGCCTCGTTGTTCCAGACCAACGGGCCACGGTTCCCGGTGGAGACCGGACGCCGGGACGGCAAGGTGTCCTCATGCCTCGACGCCGAGAACGACCTGGCGCCGCCGAACGCCAACATTGTGGACCTGAAGACCTACTTCAGCGTGAAGAACCTGTCGTGGAAGGACCTCGTCGTCTTGTCAGGGAGCCACACGATCGGGAGGGCGCAGTGCAACGCGTTCGCGCCGGACCGGCTCTACAACAACAGCGGCAAAGGGGTGCAGGACCCGACGCTGGACAAGGCGTACGCTCCGGAGCTGCGGGAGAGGTGCGAGCCAGGCAACGAGAAAGACGAGACGCCCGTGGACATGGACCCCAAGAGCCCCTACGAGTTCGACCTCAGCTACTACCGGGACGTGCTCAGCAACAGGACCCTGTTCGTCTCCGACCAGGCGCTGCTCGACGACAAGTTGACGAGGGACTACGTGGCGAGGATGGCGGCCGCCGAGTCGACGGAGGAGTACTTCCATGACTACGCCACCGCCATGATCAACATGGGCAGGATGGAGGTGCTCACCGGCGACAACGGGGAGATCAGGAAAATCTGCAGCGCGTACGTTCACTAATCGACCCGGTGGTTGGTCGATGTGAGTTGGTGGCTTGGTGCAAGTGCTTCGTCATGTGGACGGGGTCACGACGGCCGGTGTGGCCGCCAGCCGCAAGGCACTTGCATTATTCTAGGGGTGGTTAGAGAATTGACACCGCCACGCGGCGAATCTTCCTCTGTTTGTATGTAAAAAAAGTCGTCTCTTTGTTCTTGACCGAGTGCCCTTTGAGATTTGGCGAGTTGTAATTATATTTTTTTCGCTTAATTAACTAGTCACCTGCAGAAAGTATGAATACATTGCTGAGAGTATTTCAATCAGAGCCATCGGTAGCTTAAGGCCCTGTTTGGTTCATAAGTCCTAAGACTTTTTTAGTCCCAATTTATACGTCTCAAGTACCTAAAAAGTCCCTACATGTTTGGTTCCTGAGACTTAACATGGACTAGAAGGCCAATTACAACTATAAGTCCCTATAAGTCTCTCCTTGAGAGTCTTATTTCATAAGTCCCAAATGCCCACTTTAAGTCCCTATAAATCCCTCCTGTTTGGTTTAGATGGGACTTATAGAGACTTTTTTAAGTCCCTAAATCAATAAGTCCGTGGAAACAAACACCCTCTAACTTAAGTGAGAGATTATCTTTTGAGAGATTAAGTGCTACTAGTATCTAACAGATCCTACCCGCAAAAAAAAAGTATCTAACAGATCCCTCAAACGTTTAGTTTCTTAAAAATATGGATTTTGATTCCTTAAAACTCAACCTCCAAGCCTATTTTTCTCTTGGAAAGCCACTTCTCGGTAAAAATGAGAATGAACAGTGCCGCACGTGGGCCGTGGGCCGTGGCCACTGCTGCCGCCGCCTGTGGGGCCTTCCGACAGCCTCGCCTCCCTCCAACCACTGCCTTGGGTGAGATTCCAGTAAACATATTTTTACGTTTTTTCGTCGTCTCCGGCCACGGCGACGCTTCTCCTCGGCGTCCCTGGCCTGGCAGCGCTCCTTCGTGTCATTCCCGGCAACAAGCAAACCGGGAGATCTCGGAGTCGGATCCACTGCTCGCCATGCCGAAGAAGGCGGGAGTTCATTGGACAGGAGCTTGGGGACAGAGGGATGTGAAGTGGGGTGGCTTGAGTTTGGTCCAGAAGACAGATAGGGATGAAAATACCAAGACGACGCTTTCTCCTCGACGTCCCCGCCCCGGTAGTGCTTCTTCTTGTTGTTCCCGGCAACAAGCAAACCGGGAGATCTCGGAGTCTGATCCACTGCCCGTCATGCCAAGGAAGGCTCGAGTTCGCTTGACAGGAGCTTGGGGATGGAAGGGAGTGAAGTGGGGTTGCTAGGGCTTGGTCCGAAGGACCGATATGGATGAAAAATATGTGGGACCGAGGTGGACCATAATGAGCCGAATCGGACGTGGCAGACACGTCCAGGCGCCCCATGTCCGCCTCACATATGGGCTGAATATTGGGGCGGCCGGTTGAGTGCCTTTTTTCTGTCCGGACTGAACTCCCGAACATTTGGGACGGATATTGAGGGTTCAGTTGTAAATGCTCTTAGGTCAAACAGTGCAAGCTTACTCAGAACAAGTACTCCCTCCGTCTGGAAATATTTGTCATCAAAATGAACAAAAAGGAATGTATCTAGACGTATTTTAGTTTTAGATATATCCCTTTTTATTCATTTTGATGACAAATATTTTCGGACGGAGGGAGTACTTGACTAATATGTACTGCCGAGATCTAACCGGGAGATCTCCATAGCTGAAGGACCTATTGCTGAGTGATGCAATCACTTTACCTCGAAAAAAAAACCTCCATGCTTCCTATCGACGGCCTTGAAGTAGTCAATTTTGTGGGTTAGCTCTGCCATTTTTCCTTCAACTCGGTATAACCATGAAACAGTCACGAAGCAGAAGGAGCAAATCTCACGTGGATCTGACCACTAGATTGGAGGACCTTCACGATTTCGATCGGACGGCGAAGCATACCATCAGTAGCCTGCCTAGCGATGCCCGGATAGGCATGACACCCTGAAAACAGTTAGCACTCTGATTCAACTTCTGCCTCATAGTCTTTTCTTTTTTTTAAACTTCTGCCTCATAGTCAGCAGGAACGCCATCTGTCACAGATAAGCCTGTAATAAATGCAAGGAAACTAATCAGCTGAGCATGGCTCAGTTTGCTATTAATTCCAACTTCAATTATGATCGATTCCTCTTATAGATTTCTTTTTCTTTGTAATCAAAAATCAAGAACAAAAATTATGTTTTTTACACAGATACTCGTACATACACATACTCACCCTTATGAACGCACGCACACACACCCATATCCTTATGAGCACCACCGAGAGACTGAGCCAGCACATCATCTTAGATTGACAAAATCGCCAGACTCCATCGTAGTCGACGGGGACATCTCCTCCCGCTGAACGCACGTCATCGGAAGGCCTAAAATAATTCCAGAAAAAAGTGAGTGCCTTTTTTGCGCTTTACCTCAAGTATTCTACTGGTCAGTTCTAACTATATCCATGCTTTAGTAAGAAAGGGAAAAGAGGACAAGTTAAATCAAAATTCAACTACCTACGGCAAAGTTGACATATAATAGCAAGCGGTGCATCTGCTTCAGATTTTCTTTTGAGCAAAAGAGGATTTCCCCTCCGATTTCCATTAGAGAAATCAGCATAACGAGTACATTTTGGAGCAGAGTTCCGGATATACATCTGCTTCAGATGAAATCATAATAGTTAGTTATGCAATTCCTTAGTCATTCCTTAGTCATAGCAGGACCGCAGAGGGGAAAAGCCTCCCATGAAGCCGCCGCGGGACCGCAACCGCGGCCGGGCCGACGACGAGGGTGGCTGGGGGCCGCCACCCGCGTGGTGGCTCAAGGAGCAGGAAAGAAAGAAGAAGAATAAGGCGGAGTACAAGCAACGTGGCCTCGAGCTCAAGCGCAAGGGGCTGCAACCTGCGACGGGCGGCGACCGGGGTGGCGAACCCCATGCGAAGAAGAAATCCAAGCCTGCGGGGGCGGCGGCCTCCAAGCTGCCCCTCCCGCCCAGATCTGAGGCGCCGGGCTCGTCCAAGGGCACGGAGGAGGAGCCAATCCCAATCGAAGAAGCCGACAGCCCGGAGTGCTTCAGATGCGGTCGCACAGGCCACTTCCAGAACATGTGCACCTTCAAGCCCTTGTGCGTGGTGTGCACCAAGGAGGGGCACACGTCGGCGCAGTGCCCGACCCGCGGCAAGCCTCTGCTCCTCCAAACCATGGGGCACGCCATCTCCGGCGAGGGTTTCTTCTGCCTCCAGTCTCCGAAAGATTCGAGGGAGGAGCCACAGATCCAGCTGGGGGCCAATGCGGCGGTGCTCTCCATGCCTTCCAGCGCGCTCACGCACGAGATCCTCCAAGTGGAACTGCCACACCTCTTTGAGGGCGAGTGGGACTGGCAGATCTCACCCATGGAGGGCGGGGCGTTCTCGGTGGTCTTCCCGGATCCGGCGATGCTCAGGATGGCAACGCGAAGTGGCAAACTTTTCCTCTCCCTCAACAACCTCATGGTGGATATTCGTGATGCGGTCCTCGATGCTCCTAAAGGAATGGCGATGCCAGAGGTGTGGGTCAAACTGGGAGGAGTCCCACCCAAGCAGAGGTGCTCCGACCTGCTCATGGCGGCCACCACCATGCTCGGCCGTCCCTTGCTGATAGACGAGGAGTGTCTCATCCGCCCGGGGCTAGTTCGCATGCGTTTCGCCTGCCGCAACCCCCGCAAGCTGCGCGGACTGGTCCAGATCTGGTTCAACAGCGAGGGCTTCAACATCAGCATCAAGCCCGAGCTCCCCCCGGAGCAAATCACGGCGCCCGCCTTGCCTGTCCCAAATCCTCCTTCTCCTAACCACGGTAAGGGTCCGGACGGGGCGGGTCATGACGGCACCATGGATGACGACAAGGAGGCTGATGCTAGCATGGGGGATGATTCCATTGACACGGCGGCGTGGGAGAAGTTGGGCATCAATGACAAGGGCGGGGCGGCGAATCGGGCGTCGCTTCCTTCGTTGGAGCTGCCTCTGGCGGGGAGGTCCATGGAGCTGGAGCTTTCCATCCCGAACCAGTATGGCTCAAACTTGGGCTCGGTCACGTCCCCCCCGGTGCGGTCGGTGGCGGAGGCCGGTGCGGGCCAGTTGGAGGAGCCGCTGGGAGAGGCAAGCACTCCTATCGCGGTGTCCGTGGACTCGCTGCCTCTCGCCTCGCGCTCTCCGTCTCAAGGAGGCCGCAGCTCCAACAAGCTCGGCGCGGTGAAGCAGCTCAAGAAGGTGGTCGTGCACAAGGTCAGCACGGAGGCCGGGCGTGTAGCGGAGCTCTAGGGCGCGCCGGTGACGCCTCGTCAGGCGGTGACGGCGTTGGTTGTGCCCAGCTCGGCCCCGATCGCGCTGGAGGTGTCGAAGACGGCGACTTTCCCGAAGGCCAAGCGTTCCAATGCCGTCGTGGAGGGGTAGGTGGCTCCTGTGCGAGTCAGTGCACGGGCCAAGGGTGCCAAAGGGAACATGCCTTCGCTCCAACGCGCCCAACTCCTCCAAGCAAAGAAGAATCTGGAAACCTCAGGTAATCCACTGCCCCATTTTTTGATCCTGGACTCTTTTTCGGACGATCATCTGGGCGAGGTGTTGGTAGAGAGTGGGGTTGAACCGATGGGGGAGGGCGGGGTTCGCGAGCTCATCTCGCTGGTGCGCGCAAAGGAGATGGCACAAGCAGCACTCGCAGCGGCGGCTGCTCAACACGCGGAGCGTTTGGCTGTCGAGGATGAGCCCTCGACGTTGCTAATGCTCCGGCCCGAAGGGTAGACATCAATAGGGGTTGCCGCTCCTCCCTTGCCTCGCTGCGGCAAGGTGAGGCGCATGGCCAAGGCGATCACCTCCAGGGGTGTGCGCCTGCGAAACCGCGTCATCTAGATGCGGGTGCTTATTTGGAACATCCGTGGCTTCGGCCACTCGGGGCGGCGCACCCAACTTAGAGATTACATCAGAAAAGAA